CGCGGAGGAGTTGGCTGCGAGCGCGCTCCGATCCGCCTCTCCGGGTTTTCGCAGCCGCAGAGCGCGCAGCCCGCGGGCCCCGGCGCCAGGACCGGCCCTGGGGTGAATCCTGGCGAGGGAGCGGGCAGCCCCAGAACCCTCTCTGGGTCGCGGGCAGTGCTTTCTGCCTCGACCTCTCCTAAGGTCGCTGTCCCAGTAGCCTGAGCCGGAAATCTCACCTGCGCCGGGCGTGTGGAAGGAGGGAGGTGATCCTCCAGGGGAGATTCTAGTCCTTCAACCCGCCCGCGCACCCGCTCGCTTCGGGGCGCGAGCATCAAGATGCTGGGCCACCTGCCGCGAGCGCTGAGAAAGCAGAGCTGCGGGGGCGGGCCGGACCTGTCCCGAGAGACCCCACGGGAAGTGCTCCCGGGAGGATGCGCTCGCACTTGGCCCAGAATGATGGCTGCCATTTATGGAGCCCTTGCCTGATGCCAGGATCTTGACAGTAAAGCTCTGTATCCTTAAAAGAAATCTTACAAGGTTTTACCATACCTTTTTACAGACAGAGAAATTGAGTCAGCTCAGGAGGAGGTCTAGTGAATTGCTCAAAGCTAGGAAACTACCTCTGCCTGATCCAAAGTTTCTGACCTATTCTCCACGACTTGGGTTTGAAAGGACTGGGTTCCTTAACTGCCTTTACGTGATTGTGTCACATTCCCCATACCTGGAGGAATTTCTCAGACTCTATGGTTCCATCCTCTACAAGATGGTGTGAGCAGAATCTAACCCAAACAGCACCTGGAACGTAGTAGGTGCTCAGGAAATGTTGGCCATATCTGAGTATCTACTTACCTCTGCTGACTTAAAGCTGAGGGAAGGAAGAAAAGGGTAGATAAGAGGATGGCAATGTGATAGAGGCCGATGCCTTACTCCTGGCCCTCACATAGTAGCACTTCCCAATGCAGACTGAGGCCAAGTTAGGTCTGTAGTTTTGAGCTTCTTTACTCAATAGAAGCAAGTACTTTGAGAAGTTACCCTCCACCAGGAGGCATTTCCTGTCCACCTTCTGCACCCTGCCCGAAGAACTTCTCTTCCACTAATACCCTGGGTGTAGCTTCCAAGCTGAATTGACCCTGTAATATAGGCATTTATCAAATCTAGCTTCCTTGCTTGAAAAAAAGGTATCTCACTTTATTAGAAAAATTATCAAACATACCAAAAAGCAGAAGGAATGCTATAATGAACCCCCAAGCTGTGACAGTTATCAAAGTTTTGCCATTTTCATTTCATCTCCCCCATCCTCAACACATGGACATACACTGGAGAGAACAGTGTTATTCATTGTTCTACCTGGGCACACAGCATGGAATCTAGCACATAGTGGGTACTCAAAAAAGAGTTTGTTGGCTGGTGGGATGGAAGATAGATGGGTATGTGGGTGGCTAGATCGCTAGTGGTACTTTGGGGTACCTTGTGCTGATACCCTAGTCTGATGGGAGATTTAACCTATATTCTTCCCTTGTATACTTAGGCAAGAGCCTCCACCAGGCTTCCACAGAAGAAAAACTTTAGAAGCACTCAAAATCTTACCTAACCATAAAGATTTTATTTTAAAACCAAACTATGTTAGTAATATGTCTCTAGGGTATGAGAAAGAGACAGCTCTCCCGCTATTAGTTTCTCTTCCAGCTTTCTTAACTCTCTTGTTCTGAGACAGTCTGGCATGGATTCTTTGGGCCCTCTCAACATTAAAAAAAAAAAAAAAAAAGTGAAATTAATACGTTCAAAACTCATGTAATTCCTCAAAAATCATTCTTTCACTACATGGACTTCCCAAAGGCATTTGGCTCCCTCACCCTGGCATTTGTGCTCTTCACAATCCACCCCCACCTACCAATCCAACTTTTTCTCCTTAATCCTGGCCCCAATTAGCTCTCACTCCTGCTTCCAAATATGGATTTCCCAGGCCTTTTATTTTCCGACAGCCACCTGGGGACAGTCCTTAGAGACTGGACTATATGAAGCCCACCTGTACGAAGCACAAACTCTTGAGATACAAGATGATTCTTTATTTCTTTCAGTACCCTTAGCACTTAATTTTCATTTTAACACCTCATCATTTATTGAATTTATTGGCATGCATTCAGATATGCTGCACAGAATAGTCTTGTTTCTCCATCCTCACCTTACCTTCTTGCTCTCCGTCCATTCCAGAGTTAATCTACCCTTACTAAAGCCAGTTAACATGGTGGGTTTAACATGGAAGCCACTGTATTCTATGCTGTGCTTGAATTTCCCATCACAGTGCTGGTTAACACAGCTGATAGGCACAACTTCTTCTTGAATTATGGGAGTCTCATTTGCTACTGTTCCTAGAAAGCTACTGTTACCTGTCTGTGGCCTGTTAGGAACGGGGCCGCACATCAGGAGGTGAGCGGCACGGGAGTGAGCAAGCTTCATCTGTTTTTGCAGCTGCTCCCCAGTGCTAGCATCACCACCTCAGCTCCACTTGAGATCATTAGGCATTAGATTCTCAGGAGCACTGGTACCTGGTGCCAAAAAGGTTGAGGACCGCTACTAGGTAGGGCATCTTATCTTTACCTGGCTAATGACACCATCACCAGTCCACTCCCCCCCCGCCCCCCCAGCCCCAGTCCCAGGCCTGGGAATAGTTTGCATGGAACAGGAATACCCAGAGAAAACCACAGGCTCCTCAGACAGATCTCTGCTTTGACCTCAGTCTACTAAGAAGAGGTGAGTTCAGACACCTGAGGAAGTTTAGTACAGCTGGTGAGGGAAAGGGATTGAAATGTAGCCTGAGAAAGAGGATGATAAATCATTTTAAGCATATGAGACTCTATCCTACAAGTATGAAGCTAACTCCCTAGGGCTGCTTTTGTGAGTTGACAATTGTTTAAAAGCTGACGCTTGTTCTTGGGTCATGTCCAAAGGCTTCTCAAAGACCTGTCAGCATCAGGAACTTCCCTAGCTGATTATGCTCCCTCTGTCAGGCCTGGTTTTCAGAATTCTGCAAAGAGTCCCCTCATAGTTGGGACTCCTTTTGTACTCTTGGGCAATGTTTCTTTAATATGGCAAGTTCCTTTTAGAAGGCTCATGACTGGCTTTCTCTCCCTATGTTTGGTCTGTAAGAAACACACAGATGTCCTTTGTCTGCACATACTCTAGTGCAAGCATTTTCTCACCAGCCTACTCTCCTTGGCCACCATGGATGCATTCTGCAAGCCACAGTTCTTTACCTTCAATGTTCTCCAGTCTGGGTCAGTGGACATATGTCAAGTGGTCAAATGCACAAGATGTCAAGTGGTCTTCTCAAATCTCTTTCCATGAGGCTTGATGTGAGGAATACAATTTCTTTGGCTAAAGGCAGAGACACCATCATATTTATAGAAATTTCAAAAAATTAGATGAGGAAAGGCTAGGAGCAGAGGCAGAGTGTTGACCCATCAGAAGAAGAATGCTCCTATTATCCTATATTTCAGATTTAGAAGGTGAAGTTCAAGAGGTGAATTAACTGATTCAAGACTATTGAGTTAGCAAGTGGCAAAGCCAGGATCAAACCTAGATCCCTCTGACTCTCCATCCCACGCTTATTATTGTCAGTGTGCTATGTGTATTAATTATCATTTATAAAACACGTATAAAAGTGTGCCACAGAATATAGGTCTGGTTTAAGAGAAGCAAAACTCCCAACAGCTCGCTCTGGCATAGAGCATGCTTCCACTCAAGTGGAAAGAAACAATTCTCAGTGTAGAGCCTATAGGTGAAGTAATTAACATTGCTGGGTTTCCCCCATGGGACTGATGCTTGTCCAGGTGTATATATGTATATATCACTTTGTTTTGTTAATAGA